TGAATTTGCAGTAACAATGAAAACCTTATTAATGGTGTTAATTATTGTAATTAATACTGGCTTGTATATTAAATCATTGATAACAATACCTCGAGGAATTATCAGGACATAATTTTCTCTCTGGGGAGACTATTGAGTTCATGCTGTGACTCTTCTAATTTCCCCAGAGAGGATTATCATCATAATGTTATCCTGAATTATCTTATTGCTCAGTAAGTGTCCTTGCCTTCAAATTTAAAGCAAATTAAGAAATTAATTTAGTCCTGGGAAGTTACTGTTTAAGGAGTCTGCACCTGTGAAAATAAGAACCAGTGGCAAACGGAATGAATTTTGTTTTCAAATGAAAAGTATCTGTGTGAAGGAAACTCAGTAAACACAGACCAATATGTAGAAGTTAATCCCAATTAGTTAGTAAGATCTCTTGTTAATGTGATTAGAGTGTATTCACATTAAAAAAAAGTTTGTTAATAAGAACCCAGAACAGTATACTGATTCTCTACTAGATTCTACTTAGAGCTTGTAGATAATTATAGTCATGCCCTATGTATTTTGGGCCTTTTACATTCATTTAGTTCTTTCAAATACATTAACGGAGTTAGTATTTATTCTCTACTTCATGGCGTTTCTATAAAAAGCTAAGAAAAAAAAAAAACCCTTTGGACTCTACCTTTGAGAAACTCAGTGTCTGGAAGGAGAAATGTATATACATAGTTGACCCTGGAACAACAAGAGGCTAGTTTGTGCAGCTAAAAACCCATATATAACTTTTGACTCCCTAAAAACTTAACTATAAATAGCCTACTGTTGACTAGAAGCCTTATTGATAACAGAAACAGTCAATTAACAAATGCTTTGTGTGTTTTGTCTATTATATAATGTATTCTTACAATAAACTACAGAAAAGGAAATGTTAATAAGGAAATCATAAAGAAGAGAAATGATAGTTAATATTCATTAAGTGGAAAGTAGATCTTCACCTTTATCCTCATTGTCTTTGCATTGGGTAGGCAGAGGAGAAGGAGAAAGAGAAGGGGTTTCTTGCTGTCTCGGGGAGGGGAGAAGTAGAAGAAAATCTACATATAAGTGGATCTGCACAGTTCAAACTTGTGTTGTTCAAGAGTCAGCTGTATAAACAAATAATTAAAAGTGTGTGTGATCCAGGACCCAACATGGTGCCTGAGTTTGTATGTGTCTTGATAGAGTTGAATGACTACTGTCAATTGCTACAGAAACAGAGGTAGAAGCCAATAAAGCTGCCTGAGCGAGTTGAAGATGATTCCTTAGAAGAGCTGGCATGGAACTGAATCCCAAAGATGACCTGTGGTTTTCTGGGTGTGAAAAAGGAAGTTATTCAGAAAGCATGGGAATAAGCAAGTGCAATACCATGGGCATGAGGCCAGAGTTCACAGTGCACTTGGGAAATACGTGGTGCAGCTGGTGGAGGGGGCCATAGCGAGGTGCAAAAGTGACTTGAAAAGCCTTCTGTCGTAGATAAGGCATCATTATCCTCATTTGATAGTGGAAGAAACAAAGTGGGGTTTTACTTCCATAAAAGTTGAAGGTCGTCTAAGTGACTCATCTCAAATCTAAAAGCCATTTTGTGCCACTTAGAAAAAAAAAAACCTGGGTCATTAAGGAACTTCAAGGAACTGAGACTCAGTTTACACTCCAAACTGAGAACAGCAAAACGTCAATTTAAGTGATTTTATTTGGTTTATATTTCATGCTGATTTGAATCTCAGTATTTTGCTGAGTTATTTTATTCCCAGTAACTTAAAACATATGGGACATAGAACATCATTCAATAAAGAGAATATAGCTATTTCCTAAAAATAGTTCTTTACTTGAGTGGGAACCCATTTGATGATACCATTTTTTATTTAAAGCCCCTAATTTAATGCTACCTACAGTGGAATGTAACTCAGCAAAATGAAGTGTGGCATTGACAACAATATACTATAATCGCTACCGAAGTATATATGTATGTATATATTACCTGCCTGATGATCTGCTAAAGGAGACCTCCTCTTATACAAGCTTATTTTTATACAAATTGCAGTGTGGCAGAGAGACCCAAGGATAGTTGGAGATGTGCAGCTATGCTCCTTCTCATGTCAGCTTTCCACATCTACACTGGGTGACAGGACATGGGAGCAGATGAGACAAGCTGTCACTCACCCACACTGCCCTTTGAAGAAAGGCCATAGGGGGAAAAAGGTGCCGCAAATGGGCTGTGAAGTTTACATACACTGCCCACTGTTAAACAGATTACGTCTAATGAAGTGTCTAATGCTCAGGCCATATCAACCTAATCCTTGGTGGCAGTTCATCCCTCAACTGCCAAAAAACACCGCCCTCTGGCCCTCTTTCGCCACTCTGGCGTCCAAGCACAGGGAGGTGCCCAGTCTTAATAAACCAAGACAGTGTGTGATCTGACATGCAAATGTAGGTCATTGCATATGTAAATGTGTGATTACAAACCTGCATGCCAAAACACATTAGTGAGACTTTGCTCTCAGCATGCGGTTGTCACACTGCCTTAGCAGTTCACGCTAATATTTGTCAAGTTATTGTGCAGACAGAAGATGGAATTCCCAGTCAAATTTAAAGTATCTGAATCGTTTGATAGTGTTCCTTCTAATGATGAAGCTGTATTTGGCTGTTGAGATTGACAAATCTTCATTAAGTGAAAGAATGAGCTCTGTGTATAAGAGAAGGATTTATACTTATTAGATGACACAGACTATTCTAGTGTGTCAGTATAAACAATTATTAGGCAATCATAGACAATTTAAAACATGTTTCCTTTAAAAAAAAAAAAAACCTTTATTTAAAGTTAAAAACGTAAAAAAAAAAAAGCCAAATATCCATTGGATATATTTGAGAAGTGGTACTTTGTGAGTTTCTTTGTTACATATATATCATTTTGTCACATTGACACTTAATTGTAAATTCAATGGCTATGAAAAGAAATCCATTTGCAAATGAACATCATGGCAAGTTATCTCCCTTTATATGATAATTTTATTTTTGTTCTATGTTTCTTAGTGTGATATGCTTTTTCATCTTCATTTTTAACACATTTCTATTCCATTTTTGTCTTTATTTTTTATTTTTTTTAGTCAAAAGACTTAACACTGAAAATATCTGTGGATCATCATGTAGGTTCCCGTAATATTGGGTCATATTAAAGGTGACTTTGCCTAATAACATGGCAGTGTGGCATAGGCTATACTTGGGAATCAACTAGACATTCACTTGGTTTGATGACATCTACATTATGGGATTGGTGAGAGAATTGAATTTGATGGCATTTAAAGTCCTGATATAGAGTGCCTGCTAAGTTGTGGGGACGAAAATGGGACTTTCTATCATTGTTGTAGTAATTATAACAATTATCTTATGGTTCTATATTTACGAAATGAATTTGAAATTTGAAACGTTTCTTGTACTCTCGTTGTTTTGCATATTTTAAAGGAAGCATGATCTTTTTTCTTGACAGTATTTTGGGCTTCTAGAAGAAGAAAACAATGTACAAAAACAAATTATTGCTTCTTTTTTTAAAGAGAAAACATTGGATTTGAATTATAGTCACTCTTTGGCAGAATTTTACAGTTTTTGTTAGCATGATATATATAGTGAAATTAAAAGATAAAATGTACTAGGGGTTAATGCAAAGTTTGGCCCATATATCAAAATAGCCTTCTGCGTAAGTCCGGGTTATGGGGCCATCAGCCATAATTATCAAAGGTTTCTTTGAAGGCCTAAGAGTTTAAGCTGAATGTAATGTGCTCACGAACCAGTGCCATCTTTGCATTAATAGGTCTTAAATATTCAGTCTCATTAGAGGGTGCACTAGCCTGGCCCCACAAGAATGTCATGTTTGGCTTGGAGAGTACAGAGGGGACTGTGGGTGTGAGGGGAATGCTAAAAGGCATGGAAGAGTGTGCTCATCAGTACTCCAGGAATCTTGAAAAGGCTTAGGCATGTCTAGCCAAAAAAGAGAAGATATAAGGGCAAGTGATAGTTAAAATAGGCTTTTTTTGTTGTATTTTAAATAGCTAGAGATGCTAAAATGATTCCATCAGGAATGTAAAAGGTAATATTCCAACTTTAGCAATAGACAGTGTCTGACTGTAGTAGATGTTCAGTTAGGTTTACCCCATAACTTAATATTGAATGAATGAGTCCATGAACAAAAAAGTGAACAAAAGAACTAAGACAATCGGTAAAATTTATAACCTGAGTTTTGTCTCAAAATGGGGATGGCCACTGTGCTCCTGGCCCCAATATCTTATAATTATTTCTCTCATAGCATAGTGAAGAGCCTCTTCTATGTATTTACTTAAGCCATTTGAGACAGAAATCATATCTCATTCATCTCTATTTCCCTAGCAGCCAGCATAGTGCGGTAGTAAACTTCTTGCCGCTGGACATATTCTTTGCAGAAGTTAAATAACTGTCAGGAAGTTCAGTATTTCATGCATTAGTTGACAGTTTGGACTAAATGATTATATATTTTTGTAAGGTCCATTTCAACTCAAAGATCTTTGCAAAAGAAAAGAAGTATCAGAGAAATACTAGGTTGGGTGGGACAAGTTTATAGTCTGTGAACTAAAGACAAGTTCTAAGGAGTTCCTATCTAAAAGTTCATGTTGTATCCTTCTTCTTTAATTAACTTTTTCTTTTTAGGCTTTCCTATCTCACATAATATATATAAATATATATATTATATATATGTTCTAATGTATTCCTTGTTTATTCCCCTCACTAGAATGTAAGTTCCTCAGGTGCAGGGATTATTGTCTCTCTAGTCTGCTACTGTATCATCAGTGTGTAGGACAGTGCCTGGCATAAGTTCAATAAATATTTGTTGTTGAGTGAATGGATGTCTGCAAACTTACCCTAGGTGTCACCTACATATATGAAAATGATCAGTGATTGTGTGTATTGTGTGTATATTGTGTGATTGAAAATTTTTCTGACATTTTTAATTACAGAAGGCCTTACGACCAGATATGGGCTATAATACATTAGCCAACTTTCGAATAGAAAAGAAAATTGGTCGCGGACAATTTAGTGAAGTTTATAGAGCAGCCTGTCTCTTGGATGGAGTACCAGTAGCTTTAAAAAAAGTGCAGGTAAGATGATTTTAATTATGTAAATCAATGTAAAATTATACTATGTGAATTATAGATGATAAAAGTATATCCTGAATGATTGGGTACTGATAGCCTTAAGTTGAGAATGCTGGGAAAGAATGAACGCTATATTTTAAAAGCCAGAATCAAGTGTAGTATAGAATGGAAATATTAGTTTTAACACTATTTCTAGGCTTTAAAAATTTAGCTGGTATTGAACCTCAAAAAGCTTTCACAACTCTAGATTTTAAGAGACAGATTTGAGTTATCACCATTACTTCTACCTGGACATTTAACTAGCTGTGGAATACTCACTGAAGTTCTACAGCTGTAGGCACTGTAGTCAGAAACTAGAGTCACAAAATGTACTGCCCAAAGTTAGTAAATGGAAGTTAAACTATACCAGCCAAAAAAAAAATGAAAGGAAAATGAAGTGAACTTTATTTACTTGGAAATAAAAATGAGGCAGATAAAATTAGAACATGGATACCTAACTTTAAAATCCCTTATTGTATTTGTGTCATTCTGGAATCAGATTTGCTCTGTAATCCAGACCCTTTTCTGTCTTCTTGAATTCATTTATCTTGCTCCAGCTCCTCTTTCCAAGTCCTGCCCTAACCCTGGAGTTGCAGTCCCACTGAGCTACCCTGGAATGCTCACTTGCCAGAGCCCTGTAAGTTTCACTTGCCCTAATGAGATCCTCTGGCCTAGAAAGTACTTGTCTTTCTGCCTTCCAGTGTGCATGACATCAAACAATAAATCACACAGTGACTCATACACTTTTACTTCCCTTTTTCAATTATGGTAATAGTTATTCTTCACACGTGCTACAGTCTATTTTGCTTTGCAAGTCTGTTATCTTTTTTCTGCAGAGACCTGTGAAATCTAAATGTCCTTTTTTTTTTTCTTTAAACTTCTTAAGGTGATTAGTATACTTGTGACAGCCAATATAGAGATGAACAGTTTTAATTTACATTTAAAAATGAAACAGTAATGATTTATAAAAGGTTTTATATGGCGTATGTGTTAGATGTAAATAATAGAGATATCCCCGTATCCACAAACCAGCTTAAGAAATAAATATTAAAAATATTTTCGACATGTGTGTGCCACTCCCTTCCCTCAGAGATAACCATATCCTGAATGTAATGTTTATCATTCCTTTGTTTTTCTTCATAGTTTTTCCTACACTAGTATGAACTTCTAAAATAAAATTGTTTACTTTTGTATTTTTTTTGAACTTTACATAAATGAAGCACGTTTTATATATGTATCTCTCACACACACACACACACACACACTCACAGAGCCTGCTTTTTTTCAGATAGCATCATGTTTGAGGAATTAGTCTGTGTTGGTGCGTGTGCTGTAGTTTATCCTTTTTGCTACTGTATAATATTCCCCTGTTCTTGTTGATTGCTGTTTAAGTTGTTTACAGTTATTTGCTATTACAAACAATGCTTCTCTGATATTCTCATGTCTTTCCTAGTATACACATACAAGAATTTCTCTCTTGTTTGTGCTTAAGAATGAAAATGATTGAGCTACAGGGGATGCATGTGTACTGCAAGTTAATGCCAAATTGTTTTCCAGAGTTGCACTGGTGTAAGTTTTCACCAGCAGCATATAAGAATTGCAGTCTTCTCTGTTTTCATATGCCACTCAGAGCTTATTAAGAAAACACAATATGGAATGTAGTTATTAGTGTTTATGAAAGAGATTACTTTTGGAACAATTATTCCCTTACAAAAGAACTCTTCGATTCATTTTTAAAATGTATTAAATTTGTACTATGATTTCTGAGCACCCAGGGAAATAAAAAAGAAACTAGTGGTATTATTCCTGCCCTCCCGGGGAAAAAGAGTCTATCTAGAACAATTTAATGTTAAACCCTGTGGCATGGGTTCCTGATTTAAATAAGAGTTCACAGAATGGAGATGTCAATTTGAGCTGTTGGAATTGGTGGAATTGGAACTTAAGCCAGGCTATAAATGTGAGCCCAGATTGTGGTGAGCATTGGAACCAGGCAGAGGAATTTGAACTGTAGGCAATTGAGGATGCATTGTGGACTCTCAAGTAGGGTAACAATCTTCAAAATGCATTATTTTCAAAATAACATTTCAAGCTCAACATACAGAATAGAGTGGAGAGAACATAGCTGCCAATCTGCCACAGGTTGTCAAGATGGGAGGATGGATGGATTGAGATACATTTGGAGGTCTCTGGGGACTCTTGGATCCCTTCTCTGAATCTGAGTGTGGAAAGGAGGGCTCAGTTCTGTCTCTAGTGATTATTTTTTACATTACAGAACCTTCTTATTAGAAATAGAAAGAAAGAATGGAGGAGGGGGTGGAAGGAGGCAGAAAAAAAGCTCTTGCTGCATTTTTCTATTGATTGGAAATTTGGATAAGTGTGAGTTAATTTGCACAATTGTATTTCCCTTCAGTATTAATTGGATATTACCCTCTAGCTGCCTCTGTTTACGCTGTGATAAACCTCAAATTACTGCAGGAAGTTAAAGTTTATTCTTTTGGATTATCCCATTCCTTTCTGCTTTAGTGTTGATATTGTGACATCTTCTAGTTTAAACCTAACTGCTTCATAGAAGAGAGAAATGATATTGTGAAGATATTCTTTGCTTATTTATGAGGGAGCAGTGCCTTAAATCTTTGTAAGGAGAAATATATTTGCATTTTAAACATATTATTGATACTTGTGATGCATTACACTTGTGCTGATCAGGAAAACCTATGGTTCTTTCTTTTTAAAAAATCATTTCTGCAGCTTAAAATAAAAAAAAATTTAAAATATTGCTGACCAATGCTTTTCCTTTTGAAGAATGCTAACCTAACTCTTTACAAAAAACCTTAAAGAATTACATATTGAATTTTTTCATGCCACTTTTTATTTTAAGGCTATATTACTTGTCTCAAGAACTGTATTACCGTTCCCAGGTCCACTAGACTCCTTGAATACTTCGGTTGAGTTCATAAGCTAAATTATTGGTTTTATCATTCATTTATCTGCTTACAAAGTTTTAATGAGATAACATCCAGAATCCTCAGCTTAGTTTTTAAGACCCTTCCCTACTTTGTGCCACTCCATTTAGTTCACTTATTCAGGGCCGTTAACAAAGGATGTGCTCAGCTCTGGCCATTTTACTGCAAGTTTGCCTGTTACCTGTATGGGAAAGAAGAGTGTGTGTGCTAAATGCATGTTACTTCTTGGAAATCATAAAGGGATCTGAGAGCCTACAGTATATGGCAACATTAACCAATCTTTTTGAAAATGTACCTGTATCCTGTCATGGTTCATTTGCAAAAAAAATAAGATGGTGCCTTAACTAATAGAACAATTGTGAAATTCTCTGTACCAACTTTTTCTCTCTTGCCTCCTTCTTTAATGCTTCCCTTCCTGCTGATCATTGAATCCATTCCTCCAGTATTTATTGACCACCTAGTGTTTGTTGGTCAGTGGATAAGGCTTTAGGAAAATTAAGATAAACATAATGAGACTCATGGGATTCTAGTGGGGTTACAACAAAGACACTACTAACATAATGAGATAGGCACTGTGATAGGAGCAGCCTTGAAGAGAACAGGTGTGAGGAGGAGCTTAGGAAAGAGGCTTCACAGAGTTTGTGAGCTGGCTCTCAAAACTTACGTTCTTTATGTTGGAAGATTATCAAAAACTTTTTTTGATCTGGTATATACAATCTCTTATATTTTGCTCATTGATTAGAGCTATAGGTATAGGATTGAAGTTGGTTTTTATTTTATCAGTCTGACATAGTGTTACAGTAGGGTGAATTTTGGGTCTCTGTTTCTTAGTTCTTTGACCATAGTTACTCTCATTTTTAAATAATACGTGAGGTATTTTGATCCTTTGTTCATTAATGCTTAATTTCTCTTTGCTTGCTCTTAACGATATTTCTAGATAACACTATTTTACTGTGTGGCAGCCATTGTCAGTGAGAATTCTTTTAGGAAGAAAAGCTAAAAAGAAACTCTATGTATTTATACAAATAAACATAAAGTGATAATATTGTTCAGATTCACATTTTGATTCAGGTGATCTCAAAAAGTCTTCCCCAAAGTATTCTTTGATATTGAATGCTTACCTTTTATTTACTTACGTTTGCTAGTTGCTTTCAAGTATTTTTCAAGCAAATAACTTTTTAATTTCTTTTAATAAGTTACTTTTTTACCCATGTTAATTTTAGATTCTGCATGTTTGCATATAATTAGAAATTAGGATTATATATGATCAGAAATTTGTGGACAATGATAGCACTTCCATAATATATAGAGTGATTTTAATATATTCATAACCTCTGTGGCTCTGTATTCAGTCTCTTTTTCAGTGTTCATTGTGATTAACAAATTTATCTTGTAGCTTTTATGAACTTCATCATTTACTCTATAGACTTCCTTTCAAATTTCCAATTGTTATTTGAATAAATGAAAACTAAGTATTTGTAAGAATAATTCATAAATGACATTAAAAAATACAGAACAATTTAGTAAATTAATGTTAGTTTTTACTTGTCAAGGTGGAATAGGCTTTTATCTTAAAAATTAAAGCTTTTTAATTTTAATTACTTGTACTTGCAATCTTAAGCATTTCTAAGCGGATAAGAAACAGAAGATTTCCAGTTTTGTGGAATGTTTAACATTTTGGGATTAAACTGCTATATGGCAGACACAGTACTCGACACTAGGGACGCAATAGTGGGACACAATAATTAAATCCGACATTTTTGTGTGGGAAATAGACAATAAATCAAATAATTATAGCAAAAAATAAATCAAATAATTATAGCCAAAAAGGAAATGACCATACTGTGTTATTAGAGACAAACTAGATGGAGGAGAGCATTTTAGATGGAGTGTGCAGCAAAGGCCTCTCTGAGAATGTGAAATTTAAGCTGAGGTGGAGGATAAGGAGTCAGTCATCTGAAGAGTAGTGATAGGAAGGTTCCAGCTGTAGAGCTGGGCGCGGTGACTCATGCCTGTAATCCCAGTATTTTGGGAGGCCGAGGTAGGCGGATGACGAAGTCAAGAGATCAAGACCATCCTGGCCAACATGGTGAAACCCTATCTCTACTAAAAATACAAAAATTAGCTGGGTGTGGTGGCACATGCCTGTAGTCCCAGCTACTTGGAGGCTGAGGCAGGAGAATCGCTTGAACCTGGGAGGCGGAGTTTACAGTGAGCCGAGATCACACCACCGCACTCCAGCCTGGAGACAGAGCAAGACTCTGTCTCAAAAAACAAAAATGACAACAACAAAAACAACACCAAAAAATTTGCTTAGTATATATTTTTGAGTACTTTGTTTTCTGCATTTTAAATGGTCTTTCTTCTAACAATTTGACATATGCCCTTTTAAGGGGATATTTCTGTTAAGTTACTTGAAGGATTTTGTTTCCTTTTAAAGAAATCTAGTGTTAACCTTTTCAGTTTCATTAGCTATGAGTAATTTTGGCAAAATTTTAAGATGACAAAAGAAAACCTTTAAAATGATTCAGAGAATACCAAGAATTTATCAGTCATTACTTGCCTAACCACAGCTCATCCCTTGCTCTTACCAAGTATAAAATGAGTTTAAAAACCTGAAGAAACTTTGGTAGAGCTGAGTGAAAATGCTGCCTCCTGAAGACTTGTTTGTACATATTATATGCAAAATATTCTTACAAAGTCCATATTTTCACCCAAGACATACTGCTTTTTCTTGCTCATAAAATCATCAGACAGCTTTGAATCTTTGTTTGGGAATGACGTAATCTAAATATTCATTATTTGTTTTCGTCTTGACTTGTTGGCTAAGAGAAAAAGAAAGATACTTCTGTATTTCCAGTTAAGTGTATTTGACTCAGAATTTAGTTTTGCTTTAGATGTGCCAACAATGCTTATTTCTCCCTGCGTTTGAGGAGTGACTTTTGATATTATTGAAAATTCAGTTAAAAATAAAAGTCAATTGTAATTCTAAATTAATTTTTGTAGCTTGAATTAAAGATTTTCTATGTAGCATGTTTCTATCTTGATATGTTGTATCTCATTATGGTTTCCTAAAACTCATACATAAATTATTCATTCTCATCTCACTCACCCTCTTTTGTTTTTTAAAAATGTTCCACATCATAGAGACATTGATTACTGAGAGATTAGATACATATATGTCTCCAAGTTTGTGATTTTCTTCATTTTAATTACTGGTACTGTATGGGCATTATTCTTTCTCTGTCTCCTAAAACAAACAAACAAAAATACCAGGAATTCCATCAAGATCTAATATACTTATAGTTTTGTGCTTTCCAGTATATCTTTGAGTTATCTCAAATTCCTTGTAAATAGCATTTCCTGAGAAGGGCATCAGCATTCATGATGTGTCAAGAATCAGTTATTTCTCATGCCATTTTGATTTAAAGTGCAAGTAGTCTGTGTGTGTGTGTTTCATACCTATAACTAATACCAAGTTCAAAGTTTTCTATTTCCATTAGTGTTTGTTTTATTGTTTAACATGTTAATATAGTAATCCCTTTGGGGGAATGAATGGCATTTCTATGTGAAATTGCTAAATGTAAAGCTTATTCCTTCAATTCAAGAACTTTTGATTTTACATATATATGTGTATATATATGTGTGTGTGTATATATGTGTGTGTGTATATATATATATTTTTTCTGAATGGCATTACGCATTTCTGCTTATATAAATCAGTTATTGAGAGCCCTTCCAGCCAGCTATACTCACCCCCATTAAGGTTCTTACATCACTTTGAACAAGTAGCACTTACAATTTGCGTGTTAATTTTCTGTGTTGCTGTCTGCATTCTGCATCTGACACTGTGCATCTTAAAGGACTGCAAGATGGTTTTCTTATTTGTACCTGTAATAAAATCTGATAGTAAGGTGGCATTCGGCATGGATTTTTATATGTAGAAAGGGTGGACATTAACAGTTTAAGCTTGTCTGTACTCAGGATCAGGTTATTCATATTAATCATTTGTGTGTAGAGTTAAAACTATGATGCTCTTGGAGAAAATTTCCACAAGATTTTTCCTTCCTCCATAAATGGTGTCATATGGTATGTTCTTTAATACTGGTATTTTTTTAACCCCTGCTATTGGTGTCCATTTATATCTTGCTCATTTTGTCAAAACTTGATGTATACAACAGCTTAATGTTTGCCAAAACATGTCTCACTAGATAGTTTATGCGAACTTCATGATAGTGATTTGCCACTCATAGTCCTTTCCTTCCCCCACCAACCCCAGCCCCTTTTCCTTTCCTTGCTGTTGTTTCATTGTGTTGCATTCTGTTCCATTCTGAAATCATGGTAGTTAACATGAGTTCACTGTGGCTGACACGGTTAGAATTACTGCTAATGGAGAAACAAGTTAACTCTCTTCAATGTATGTACTGGCATACATATTTCTTCTTCTGTTATTTGATTAAGTGGGAGAAACCTTGATGTAATCTAGTCTGTCTCTTTTTGTAAACCATTAACTAAGTTAAGGCTTTATATTTTTTCAAATCTTAAACAGTATGCAGTGCTCAACTATTTTACATTAAAAGTTGCAGAACGTAAATTTGATACTTGAAGTTTTCATTAGAAGTAGTAGAACCAAAATAATGTTGGTGAAAAAGCATATATATAGTTTTATTTTTTATTTTATTTTATTTTTATTTTTAATTTTTTTTGAGACGCAGACTCACTCTGTCACCCAGGCTGGAGTGCAGTGGTGCAATCTCGGCTCACTGCAAGCTCTGCCTCCCGGATTCACGTCATTCTCCTGCCTCAGCCTCCAGAGTAGCTGGGACCATAGGCGCCAGCCACCCCGCCCAGCTAATTTTTTTTTTTGTATTTTTAGTAAAGATGGATTTTCACCATATTAGCCAGGATGGTCTCGATCTGCTAACCTCGTGATCCGCCAGCCTTGGCCTTCCTAAGTGCTGGGATTACAGGTGTGAGCCACTGTGCGCAGCCTGTATATCATTTTATATACTGCTATTTTCACTATGTAAAAGCACATGCCTTTGTACAAGAAATAGAAGGGACTGAGCCAAAGCTAAAATTCTTTAAGGCAGTGAGTTTATGGATTTTATTTTTGCTTTATAATCTTATCTAATATCTTCATGGTTTTTTTTTAATTAAGAGAAATTAGAACTTTGTGTATCTTTGGATAGTAAGAATGATATCTAGAAAAAGTTGCCTCTCATAAGCTGTAATTATACACCCTTATTCCATATTTACCTTTATGCATTAGATATCTTTTGTTTCTGTCTGGTAGAACCCTGTAATTCTTTCAAGCTTCACCTCTAATGCTGCCCCCTCCCTACATGGGAGGAATTTCTTCCTTAGGTCTCTAATGCTACATTTTGTACACACATGTATTTTAATACTTCTTAGCTAGTTGTGTATGCATTAGACTTCATGACAGCCTGGCTCATTGAGAAAATACTGACTGTGGAGCTAGAACAACCTGGCTTCAAGATTCTGTCATTTACTAGTTTTATGATCATAAGCATATTATTTAATATTTTTGAGCCTCAATCCTCATTTTGTTATTGTGGCCTATTATTTAATATTTTTGAGCCTCAATCCTCAGTTTGTTATTGTGGCCAGTACTACCTATCTTATAAGATTGCAATGAATTTCAAAGCATCATGTGTAAAGAGGCCAGCCCTCTCTACTGGTGTCTAATAACTACTTCTCTAATTAAAAAGACTTGGATTCTGCCACTCCTTTGACATCGTACCTTTTCTTGGAATGTTAGCTGGCTGAATCAGGAAGACTTGATCAAGCTGATTACTAAAAATGTCATTTTTTAAAATTTGTTATGTCACTAGAGTTTTAATCACCTTGCAGTACTGACTTAGATTTTTTTTTTCAGTCTCTAAGATATTGCTTTTTTAAATGTTATTTTCCACACACTTAGAACCTTGAGAGATTTGTGTTTTCAGAGACACATGAAATACCTTTTTGATTGTATTTTTTATTTTTATGTTTTTAATGGTAGGTTAATATTTTTCAACCTTTACTTCATTATCTTCCCTCCAAACTGCCTTTTTAGGCATTTCTTCCCAATTACCTCTACCTATGAAATTTTAATTCCACAAATACATCTGTTTATGTGCAATACTGTATGTGTATCTATACTTTATACTTAATAGAGTAAAATTTTGTTACCCTTCTCCTCAAAGAACCAAATTTCACCCCCTTGAAATGATAGCACCCTTGTCAAAAATGCATACATGAGACCTTTTAGACATGATTTGATGGAACAGATTAATAGTTCACTGCTTGGGTTCTAGACGGATAATTCTAAGAATGAATTCTGCTTGCTCTGTTGATTAGCTGTGTGACCTTTTGTCAGTCTCCTTAGCTTTCTAAAGCTTCTCTTCTTCATCTGTAAAATGGGAATACTACTATTATCATCCTCATAAGGTTGTGCAGTACATTTAGCATATATTAATTGCTCAACATGTATTAGCTATTACTTTATCATCTTAATAATCACAACTTTAATTTTGTTCTTTGGAACTTAAGACCTTAGTGTCAAGGGATATCTAACTGTTCTCTTTATCCATTTTTTAAATACTGACTGCTGAAAATGTAAGTGTTGTTGGTAACATAAGATACCTGCAGACCTCCATAATAAATAAAAGCTAATCGGAAAGAAAATTCCTTAGTGTACATATAATTACATGTAGAGTATTAAAATGAATTTACATGATAGCTTGAACCATAGGTTATTATTTTATTAAATAATTCTGGGTTCTATTTTTAGATATTTGATTTAATGGATGCCAAAGCACGTGCTGATTGCATCAAAGAAATAGATCTTCTTAAGGTAATTAATGAACTATTGACTCTTTTGAACATAACATTGTGATAAAAGTGATTTACTAAAATATCACACTTAAACACAAAAAGGTTTTTAAGACTTACACTACACTGATTTTCAAGTAATATTATGTAAGGTTGAATTTCAGTATATTGAAGAATATAGTTATTTTTTGGATTTATTGTTAAATAATATAATCAGAACATTTGGTAGGACCAGCTTTTTTTTTCTCATTTCAAACTAGGAAATAGATAAAACGGGCATAAAACATTGAAAAATTTTTTTTCTTGACCACCCCAACAAGATATATTCTAAAGGTTAAGTAATATAAATGCAAATTAGTATTACCTCAACATGTATTATATTGAAATGGTTCACATGCATTTTCTAATGTTTCAAAACCTTTTTCCAGACTTAGACAGAGTGCATCTAAAGAGTATGCCAGGAATTAGCTTTTTAGTTTCTCATCTACTAAAAATATGACTGAGACCTCAATTATTTCTGCACTGATTTGTTTATAGTGAAGTTTCTTTTGAGAAATGCTGTGGCTTATGTTGTATTTTTAACTTTTAGTTAAGATTTGGCTGTTTTTTTATGCCATCCATTCGTGTTAGTGCCTAAAATGAACCAGATTTTTGCAAAAAGGAAAAAAGTAAGGTCAAAGCAATGTTTTCTGACTATTTTGTTAGTTGTAGTTATTTCTTGGCACATGAAGTAGCTGGCTTAAATATATGTGAACTTTTACTGTAGAAATAGCACGTCATCATAGAAAATTTGCGGAGAAAACTTTAAGTAGAAAGAAGAAAGTCACCCATGCTTTCTGCATAATTTCTCAGAGAAACAATGCATCTCATATTAATGTGTTTAAAGATTGAACAAAAGGACTGTAAATGAGTAGGGACTGATACATGTATTTCTACAAGGTAAAATTTTTCTTAGGGATGATTTTATGAATTGGCTCACATAAATAAGTCCTGTATATTTTTTGATATAAAAGCAATAGTTAGATATAGTATAGTAGATACCAGCTGTGTTTTGTCTGCTAGCTGGAGTTATTCTAGGACCAGCCATAACTTCTAAATAGGAGTAAAAAGGGCTACTTTATCATTGAGTGTTCCTAAATGAAAGTTCTCATTTTGAGGATGTAATTTTTAGCAGTTGGTGACCTAATTCTGTCATTTACTTCTTGCATCTGTTGATATACTTATTGGGCTTAGCAGTACTTTTAAATTAAGATTTAAATGTAAAATATATTATTTCTAATAATATTAAGGTGAAATTATACCTTTTACTTTTAATAATTGTAGTATTTGTTTCAAAATTCATTAAAGAAAAATATACTGTCATGTTAAGATTTCTATAATTTAAAAAATACAGTTAAGTTTGTTCTTAAGTTACAAAACTGCAAGTGACTCTTAGAAATTTACAGTAAGAAAACTTTCTGATGCCTGTTTTATTTTCTCAGCAACTCAACCATCCAAATGTAATAAAATATTATGCATCATTCATTGAAGATAATGAACTAAACATAGTTTTGGAACTAGCAGATGCTGGTGACCTATCCAGAATGATCAAGGTAAGTTTTTAAAAAATCATCTTAATGTTTTGTTTTGTTTTTTCTAATAGAATTGTCTGTTTAACATATAGGGATATTAGATATTTTAAACTAAAGACCTCAATGCAAGACTTATCTGGTAGATATGTAATAAATAGTAGATGATTAGTGATCATAATTCTGAAACTGGTTTACTTGGTGATGTTTCCACTGGTCAGCTTAAATATCTAAAACCAAAAGCAACTTGGAAAGGGACCAAGATACTTGTCTTCTGTAAGTCAAGTTTTGCTGTTTGATTCTCTGAGCAGACCATGCTTGCTCCTGTGTCTCTGGACATGAGTAAAAGGAGGTAGAAAGAGACTCTAGAGCAGCCTGACCTATTTCTGGGGGGGATCCATCAAAGAAAGTGGGATTTGCAGTCAGACCTTGGATATCAACCCCACATAAAAATTGTTTTACCTTCTTTTCTAAGGGCATATTAATTGGGTTTAAGTCCAGCTGCAATTAATAGAAACCCTTAAATAATAGTAGCTTAAAAACTGTTTGTCCTTGGGCCAGTTACTCCTCTGCGTCACATTTTCTAAAAAACAAAGTAATAATATGACCTACTTTATAGGATTGTTGTAATTATTGAATTAATTAACATTTATTAAGAACTTAGAAGAATGCCTCACACATTGTAAGGCTATGTAAATGTATCTGCTGCTGCTATTATTATTATTGTTATTTTTATTACTTCTCTGTCACGTAAAAGTCTGGGGCTAGTATGGTAGCTCTGTTCTATCAAGAGTATTTTAGAGACCTAGCCTATTTCTAGCTTATCAAGTCACACTAGGCTTGAAGGGACAAAGAGTACATGCTGGCTTTATCTTAAAGCACATTCCTGAGTGCTGCCTGTCACACAACATTTTCAGCTTCATTCCCTTGGCCAGAATGTAGTCTCATGAACCTATCTACCTGCAAGGAAGGCTGGAAAAGAAAGTCTTCATTCAGCTGGCCGTGTGCCCAGCTAAACTTCTGTTACTATGGAACACAACTTGAACCATCTAGAAACAAACAAGAATAACTGAATGAGAAAAACAAAAGCTATTTATTCGAGCTTGCTGTAGCAAGGGAGTCAGCCAATCATCACTTGCATCTTGGCAGAGAATTGAAAGCAGACAAAGGAATGAAAGGTTTATAGTGGGAAGAAAAGGGAAGCCTTTGGGTATGCCCTGATGGGAGACTGCTGACACAGAGAAGCTATAGACCAGCTGACTAGAAACAGGGTGTCCTTGTGATTGGTTAGGAGTACATATTTGGCTTTCTCTGGTTGGTCCTAGTTAGAAGCAGGGACAAAATTAGGGAAGCTGTCAGTTGTTATTCAATTGTTATAGAAGTTACTGTTTGGCTTCCTAGATTGTCACTAGAGAGAGCAGTCTGGCTTCCTGCAAGTCTAACTTATAGCACGCTGACTTCCTGTGTTGTTTAGTGTAGATAAAGAGTTGATTTCCTGGGCAGGTAGGAAAGATTGATATGTGGTTGGATATATGTACATACATTAGTACATATGTCTTTAAGTAGATGGATGGATATGTGTACATGCATTAGTACATATGTCTTTAAAAAGTATACATATAAACATACTATATATTACTTAACCATCATAATAAAACTATGTGACAGGTATTACTGACCCAATTGTATTTATATGGTCCTTCCTTTTTCTCCCTCATTCCCATGTCCCAGAAATAACCTCTAACCGTTACGTGCATAAAACCTTCCCAACTTTACTTACTATCTTTATACCCATTTAAATATAAAAATATATACTGATACACGTATTCTTTCTCAGACACATCACGATTTGTTTTATTACTTTGTTAATAGATAGTTGGATTGTTTTCATTTTTATTCTTACAGAGAAATCTCAAGTACAAAGCCTTATCTACATCAATACAACTATATCTATACATACTCCATTGTCTATTTCTATTACATAGATTCGTATAAATATTGCCAAGTAAGAGTATACACATTTTAAATAATAGCTATTGCCAAATTAGTCCCTTAAATAGTTAATACCAATTTGTAGCTTTTTAAAAATATCTCTATATTTTATTTTTTTATTTATTAGACATTTACTGTGTGCCAGGTACATGGTTTATGGCTTTTTGGAACTCGTCATCTAGTGGGATAATCAGGCATTTGACTAATACTAATGTAAAACTGTATACCTGCAGTTGTAATAAGTTATATAAAGGAAAAGTGCGGGTTATAAGGGATGATTATAACAGGACCTCTGAAACTACACTGGTGAATTCAGATGGCAATTAAAGGATTTTAATCAGTTGTCCTAGTTATTTAATCTTAATGATTGAGCCAGTTTCTACATCAATAAAATTGGGTCAGTAATACCTGTCTTACAGTGTTATTATGATGGTTAAATAATATAATATGTAGTATGTTTATATATGTATTTTGAAGACATATGTACAAATGTATGTACACATACCCATCCATCTATCTGTGTCTTTATGCATGTATGATATCTCATAGGTATTCACATTTTCTTTATTCCATTTAAACCTCTGATCACTACGCTTCTAGCCTCCTTGCATCATACAAATCTACTCTTTTCTACTCTTCAAAGTTGTCTTTATTCCTCCAGTTTTCCAGAGTATTTAAAAGTCACTAGACAGGAGCACCCTCACCTTCCCATGACTGAACCTGCTAGACCTACTTGTGTCTGTTACTGTTCTCTCCTCCTTCTCTCCTGTTACCATATTCTTGTTAGATAGGAGGGATTGTTATGTTTCCCTCCACCTAGGTTCTCTACCCTTTCTCTGCCTGTATTCTCAGAAATCTTAATTCCTATCATTATCTGTTCCCAGTCCTAGATTCATAACCATTGTGCACTTCTGAGTTCCTTCTCTCATCATTTAAATATGCTCAGGTCACTGTTATTTTAAACATATTTACATGTATACATGCACACACACCTGTTCCCCATTCATTCATTCATTCAAGAAACTTATTTTCCAGTGGAGAAGTCAAATGCTAAAAGCAAGTAGAATATATGATATGCCAGATGTTGATAAATCAATTAAGAAAAATTAAAGAAAGAAAAGCAATAAGGATTTTAGAGGAGGTGTGTTGCTATTTTATTTTATTTATTTAATTAATTTTTTTGAGATGGAATCTCACTCTGTCGCCCAGGCGGGAATGCAGTGGTGCGATCTCGGTTCACTGCAACCTCTGCCTCCCAGGTTCAAGCAATTCTCCTGTCTCTGCCTTCCTAGTAGCTAGGACTACAGGCGTGCACCACCACACCCGGCTAATTTTTGTATTTTTAGTAGAGACGGGGTTTCACCATATTGGTCAAGGTGATCTCGAACTTTGACCTCAGGTGATCCACCTGCCTCAGCCTCCCAAAGTGCTGGGATTACAGGTGTGAGCCACTGTACCCAGCCTGTGTTGTTATGTTAAGTAAGATAATCTCAGAAGATGCTCTTAAGTCCTACCACCCTCACCTCTGCCTGCTTTTTCCTTCAATTACTACCCTAGTTCTTTTTTTTCCTTCACAGTCAGACACTTACTCCTGACTCTCTTTCCAACCTACCACACATAACAGCTCTTCAATGACCTCTATCATGAAAGCCAAAGGACTTTGTCCAGTCAGCATTCTGCTTGATCTCTCAGCAGCATTTGGCCCTGCTTTTCATACCCTTCTTCCTAAAACACTTCTCCACCGGCTTATTGAGTCCCACAGTGTCTTGATTTTCTTCCTACCTCTCTGTAGACTATCATTTTTCTTAACTGAGTCATTCTCTTCTTCCTGGCCTTTAATGATGGAATTTTAAGTTTCAGTCCTTGACTTTTTTTTTTTTTTAGTTCTGACTCACATTATAGCTGATCTCATTCATACCTGTGTATTCAGTTACTGTCTATACTCCTGTTGACTTCCAATTTTTTATCTTTAGCATGGAGCACTCTCTAAATTCTGACTCTATATTGGCTCAATATGCCTGTAAACAAATTCCTTACAGACTACCCATCCTCCCATATTCCCTAACTCGAGGCCTGGCACCAATTTATCTAGTTGTGCACTCTGGAAACCAGGACTCTTTTTTGACATTTCACTCTCCCTTACCTCTTCTTTTCAATCTCACCAGATTCTGTTTATTTTTCCTTCTAAATCCATTCAAATTTCTTCACCTGGCTCCCTTTCCATTTCTCTCCCTATCGTCTCTCATTTGGAGAGAGAGCTTTTTAACTGTCTCCCAGTATCCAGCACCCATTCCTTAAATCCGTTTCTCCATCAGTCTTTAAGATGTTAGAGGGGAGAGAAACAAACCAAAAGGAAAACCTCCTTTCAATCAAATCTTTCTAGGTTTTCACTTTAAGGGTAAAGACTAAAGTGTTTGGCAAGATTCAGCAAGCCTTGTGTTCTATAGAAGATACGCTCCCTCAGAGAGGATCAGAGTCCGTTTTGTGTATTCACATATCCCAAGTGCCTAGAGCAGTGCCTGGCACAGAGCTTGTGCTCAGCATATATTTGCTATAGAATCTGACTCCTGCTCTTGCTGTGGCATATTGGCCTTTCATTTCCTTGAATGTGATTTTATTTTACCTGGGATGCTCTTCTCCATTCTTGGCTGACTTTATTTCTGCTTGTACTTCAGTTCTTAGGTATCACTTCCTCAAGCATTTTCCTTTCACTCATAGAGTACTTTATGGTGTAAGTGCTCCCAGAGTGCCCTTCCTACATAAGACTTAGTAATATAATCATGTATTTATATGTGTAATTATTTTATTGGTGTTTGTATTTCCCGTTAGACTTAAATTTCTTTTGAGCACAGAGACCATGCTGGCTTTTCTTGCCTGGCTGTCTTCAGTTCCTAGCTCATAGTACCAACTTCGATAAATATGTAGTGAATAGGTGTATAGAAGTTGGTTGTTTTACTTCTATTACACTTCTCTGTTCCAGGGCTCAGTGGATAACATGGGTGGTTGTATAATTGTCACAACAATTTCCTGCT